CTCTTGAGGCCAAGAGTCACTTTCTTGGTGGAATGGCAGTGCAAGTACTTAGCAAGGCTCTGGGCCAGCGAAGTGAGGCGATGCTGCATAATCTCACAGTGCTTCATTCCCACAGCCAGGGTTTCAACTCTCCGGGCAAGGCAAAGAAAAGTTTCCAGTTTACAGCATGTCAATGCACTTTGGCTCATCTCACCCATTTAGTGGGTTTTAAGTGATTCATCCAAGAATATCATCCAAGCATTTGCTGAAAGAAGCCAGGGTATCTGCTTCGACAACGTGATTCCATTCTTTCATACCCATTTAATAATAATAATTGCTTACACTTATAGAGCCCTTTTCTGGACACTCCACTCAAAGCGCTTTACAGGAAATGGGGACTCCCCTCCACCACCGCCAGTGTGCAGCCCCACCTGGATGATGTGACGGCAGCCAGTATACACCAAAATCTTTTAAACAACTGTAGTTCCTTTCCTTACCAGTTAGAAAAATATTAACTCAGTTCAGAAAAAAAAAAGGCTGATGAGGTAACAATAATAGATTAAAATAAACAACTATTCTCGATTAAGATGATCCTGATGATTGTGATGATGGTGATGATGACAATGCACTGGGTGGCCCAGTGGTAAGGAAGTGTGGTAGTTATCACTGCTGCCTCTCACAGGAGTGGGCTCTCTGATTGTCTCTTAGATGTCTCCGTGTCTGTGTGACAGACTGACACTCCACCCAGGAGAGTGTCCTGCTGGATGGACAAAATGAAAAATAGCATTTAGAATAATGGTTTAGTCCTGAAAAAATAGAGCCGTGATAGCTCAGACTGGCTCCTGACTGGAAGGTTCTGTGTTCAATCCCAGGTAGGGGCAAGCGATGTAGCTCTAATTCCTTCCAGATGGCCCCCAGGCCCACTCAGCCTGCTTTCCAAATGAGTACCAGGGTGGTTAATCCTTCTGGGGGTGATAGGCCAGCCGGAGTGTGATGCTGACCACATCACCTCCACCTCCAGCGTCGGATGGTCAAGAAAAATGGTGGCCCTTGCCCCACATTCCTCATGGGCCTTTATGACCTGAAAAGGGACCTACCTACCTGGATATATAAAAAGATCATGTCAAAAAAAAAGTGTCTGGCTCTTTTCTACCTCTAAAAGAGGTACGGACAGAAAACGTGCAGCAAGAAGGAAGGGGCTGGCGAGATCGTGAGCACAGCTGGCAGTAGAGTTCTTATCCGTGTCACAGCACCTGCCACACGATCAGGGTCTGTTCATAACAGCCCCTCATCACAGCTGCTGCTGCGATGTCACAGTCAGAGTAGCCCGGTACTCGACCAAGGTAAAACGCTCGTCTGTGGACGAGGCTCACCTCCCTCGTCTTGTGCCAGTCTGGTTTACTTTGTTAGTAGACCAATCGTGACTATGACTTAAGTTTGGTCATACTGTAAAAGTCCGATGGCAGCATTAAATGGTCTATATAGAAATTTGATTATTGTCTGCAGTGTAAGTTCACTTATTCTATGCATAAATATCATAGTTTCAAACAATATACTCTAGTACTGTTTGGACATACAGTATAGATGTGTGTTGATCCTGTGTTTGTACCTATAGATACGTTTGTCCATCCTGCAGTGAATCTCATGTTGTCCATCACCTGCTGTCGACAAACCAGACAAAATGACCTCCCTTGCTTCCCTAAGGGGCTCTGTGTGTTAAGAATTCTGCCCGTGCAGATGAAGAGGTGAGATACAGGAGCTGTTCAGGAGACAGTCACCTTGTTCTGCACTACTGCAGTGCAGCATCAATCGGAATAATTAGAGTCCATGGCAAATGAACCTGTCCTATTCATTCCCCCAGTTCCATTTATGGCACAATAGACTTTAGATACATTTCCATGACTACTGTGGAGCAAATAAACTTTTTAACATGAAACATTAATGCATGAAATAATCCACATGAACTGCATTTTATACTATAATAAATTGTAGTTCTGAAAGCAGGTATACTGTAAGCAATAATACTGTAGTCACTCTCTAAAACTATAATTGAATTTCATTTTGTTAACAATGAGTTGTCCTACATCCTTTATCTCTATAACAGCAACCATAAGACATTTTAAAGTATTTGGAACAACAAATGACTTACTGTGCCGGAACACATCAGCACAAATATCTGTCTTTATTTATTCTAAAAGAAGGCTTACCATCAGTGGTATCCCACTCAAGAGTTTCTACTGAAAGAAATAGCAAACTGTGCCAGTCATAAACATTTCCATTCGAGCCAGTCAAGTCTTCTTGTAATCCTAAGAAAGCAAAGTACAGGGGCGGCAATAACTATAGCTGAATGTAAAATTGGGAGGAGTCACCAAAGTCTATCAGACACAGGATACCCCTGAACAAAGGCAGAGGACAGAATGTGGTGTACTAATCTGGCCATACAGGCCTTCGGCTGGTGGGATAGCAGCTAGCAAACAGCCTGACTTCAGAGCAATTCAGAGAGACTAGAGAAGAACTTGCACAAAGTGTAGGATCGAGATCTTTGTGTAATAATAAGAATGTAAGGGCAGTATAAACGATCTCAAAATTCAAAAGGAATGCCATCACCTTCTAAATGCTCCAGAAGACCTCCAAAAGTTTACTGATGATGCACATTTTACACATTGTGGCTCTTACTACAGGAGAAAATGGTTTGTAGCCTCTTGGTTTCACGAAAATTCCCCATTTTTATTTGTAGTCAGTGCTTTCCTAATTGTACTCAAGTGGCGTTTCGTACATTTTCACTTGGAACCAAAAGGTAGTCCTCACCACCTAACACAATATGTACATTTTGCACAGGAGGTGAACTTATTGAGATGCCTCATAATGGTTATACGGATAACTGATTTGTCTTTGCACCTCTATCAATTAGTCATCACCTCAAGGGCTTTCAAAGGGTAGAAACACTTCTGCCATTTAAATGCTTGTTCCTTCATGTCAAAACACCAACTTGTTGCAATTCTGATGTTAATTCACACGTTCTTAAGAGGTTGCTACAGTCCTTTAAGCCACAAACCCCTGCAAGCTCTATTGCTATTAGCCTTCTTGGGTTTCCTTTAATGTTCAGAACCCGCACATTCAAAAATATTCACTTATCCTCTTCTTCATCCGAGCTTATCAGATCATTTAACTTGCTCCCATGATGCATCAGTCATCACCAATCACGGCAAGATGCATACATTTATTACTTTAAATTAAACTGGGTCATCAGCCTCTCAGACTATAATTCCAACTGAAATTATCTCAGCCAGCCGTGGCATCTGACCCTGTAATCATTAAAGAGAATTAAAGAGAATGGTCTCTCACTGTTTCTGTACCCTTCACTGTACCCTTCACCTTTGCCACCCCTGAGACATGCTCATAAAAAACTGGCTTCAGTGTCAAACATTTTATGGCTACTCATTTTGGGTTGATACAGTATCCAACATGGCTCAAAGAAGGAATCTTGGATCCTACAGTCAAATCCACAGGACACTAGACTTCTGAAGCTTATCAAACATGGATCAGATCTGAACCCAGACAAGCTGCTTCCCAACTCTGCAGCTGAAAAATTCTGTTATAGGATCACTCTCGTATCTTCTGTGAATTGCAGTAGGCTGTTCCTAATGGGTTATTCCCTCAAACAGACAGGTTAAGATAATACATCAAGCCAATTCAAATGATGTTTTCATATGATCCTAATTAGGGATTTGACCAAAGTACTTAAGAGTACATAAGAGTTTTAAATGACGGCTCAGGAGGTCAAACACCATTTTTTCATGTAAGTACAGTATCACAATACCTACACATTGGTTATCATTTCTCTTTCCTCCCTCCAACCCATCATTCTACCGGGGTTTCCTTTAGTCTTGTCCTTATAGTTCCTGAACTATTCTCTCAATCTAATCCCAATTCTGTCTTTATTCCACTTTAGGGTTTAACCAAACATGCTGAAATAAAATTTGTGAACATAAAACATGAAAGTAAACCAGCCTAGAGAACACGGTCGGAAGAAATACAGAGGAGCAGAGGCTAACCTCTATTTTATGATTTAAGTCATTCAACCAAAGCACCATAAAAAACAACTACCAAATTGTATGAGGGCAAGCATTCTATATTCACAGTACTAGGTTGGGCTAGCCTTTACTTGACAACATTGTGTTTTAAGGGTTTTCTGCATGCTGTGGAGATCTTAATACTCCAGCTTGAATAAAAATATTTAGATGACCGTTCAAATGTAAAGCATTTCATGAGAGTGACAATAGAAATCTAAGTCTTCGATTTAAAGGACCAGAAAAAATGTGAAACATTATTTTTAAAAAGACTCAGCAACTGTTTCCAACAGCTACTGTTTTTGTTCTTTGCAAATGAATAGCTTTATTTTGAAAAAGACATTATAAGGATTATTAAAAACATGATTATCAAAAACAAATCTTATAGGTACATAGTCAAAAATGCATCGCACCTAAATTTTAAGTATTTACATTTACGTAGTCAAGGTGAAGTCTAATGTCATGGGTGAATACAACATCAACATTTGTGTTGGGAGTTCATGAAAAGGTAAATCATGAATCCCATTACATGAAAACATCAACTAATAGACAACAGAACACTGAATGATCCACAGTGACCTTAACTGAAAACAGATGCTTAGATATATTATAATAAAAGGCAATCCAATGAACTGTACAGTATGTTTGCTATTAAGTATTTAAATTACTTAATGAGTTTTTAAAAAGTAACTTTTTGTCCATAACAAGGCGATGGAACTGAGGGTGAGAGAAAATTGTTTCTTAAATATGAAAACAAAGGAACCATTTAAAATAAATTAAAATAAATTCTTCAGGAAAAACTAACTATTTTGAGCAGCATAAAGCACCTCTTAAAGCAATCATTATAAACAACATACACTGAATCGAAGCAAATACCTTCACATTGCACAACTCATAGTTTCAGTTTAAGTGGAAATTGTTAATATTAAGAAAAAGTCAAACATTAAAATGCAGGTTTTACAAGTGCTTTTATTTAAACAACCACAATGAGTTTTCAATATGCCAAAAACCTTGCAGACATATTCATTTCTCTCTAAATATAAGTACTGTACATCTTACATATATTAAAAAATAAACTGGTATGCATAAAAAACTTATTTTCTCTATGTTAGCTATAAACAATGCAAAGCAGCCCAAATAATACCCCCGCTTGTCCATAAATACTTATGACTGTACCAAGAACATTTGTGGTCTTTTAGAAATGTTTTGCATTTATCGGGTAACACTGGAAATATTAAAACAAAAAGAAATGTTATTTCTGTCAGGATTGAGGATTTGAGATGGCAACAATAGTTAAATGTGTTATAAACATAAAAATACTTACTGTCCTGTGGTATGTACAAAATTGCCCAAATTGTAGGAGCAGTAAGAACGTTGTATTTTGTTATTATACCATGTAGCACCACCTTGTGGATACTATGAGATTTCTTGGATAACTTTGTAGAACACTACCTAACTGATTTAAAGGACACACTTACGATTAAAAATTTCTTTAGATCACAAGTTCTTTAAACCTACATAAGCTTCCTTTAGCTCAGTGTTTGCTGATTTTTATTTTCATTTTAATTGAGAGCGCTATTACAGAGATGTCACTGTGACTTGACATTATACAGCTCCTACCCCACTTGACAGAACAAAAATATCTGCTGTACACACTGTCAAAAAACACGTAGATAAACTGGGTGCATTTAACATGTTATGCAAGAAACACCTTAAACTTGTTACAAGTACAAGTAAATGCTTTTCTCTGTGGATGAATAATTGATCTGATTATTTTCCCTTTTGTGTACAAAGGTACTGTACAGTGAATGATCTGCTTACAAACCACAATTGAGGAAAAAAGACACATATTCACAAATAATTGATGTGTCCTGGTTTTTATGTCAACAAAATCAAAGCATTTCCTTATACAAAGCATTATCAATTTACCTACTGTACCATACAGTATAAACATCACTAGCATTAACTCTTTTTCTTCTTCTCAGTTGGCTGTAACAATACTGTTAAGTTTAGACGCTATTTGAATTCTACTTAAAAAATTAACTACATTTCAATTGCAGGAATTCCTGTTCGTCCCATCCTAATTATTAATTAATTATAATTGTAAGAATGGATGTACAGTAGGATTACCAAGTTTCAAACAAAACTTAAGTTCTGTTGACAACCAACTCATTCTACAATTCCTCCAACACGTCTTTTGTGATATTGAGAACAAGTGCACAGACAAGAAAAGTACTTCAATGAGAATTAAATCTACTGACTTTGTCTAATTATAAACCACGAAATATGTCTTACAGTCTTTGACAAAATGTTATTGCACTATTTTTAATTAACATGAATATGTAATTATTATGATTAGAAGACAACAACTAGTCTGTCAAATGTTGTTTTACAGAGACACCCATAAGTTAATTTTAATGGCCACTTGTCCATAATGCCCATTTCTCTAAACACAATTCTTATTACGCTGGTGAGAGAACAGAATATCATTTCTCTGTCCTTGTACTAAATACACATAATGAAAGGACAGCAGCATCACTGATAAATCAGTCTACTGTCACTTGCTAGGCTGCTCAGTTCTGCACACCCGTTACTTTACAGTGCTCTTTGAGAAGAAACCTAAAGGAAAGACTAACATACCACACAAGACCTTTCCTTTACAAAGGAAATTAAGAATAAATCACAAAATGCTCAAACTAAGGCATAAGAAAGTTTTACACATAAATTTCAGAAAGAGGAACTTTATAAAAGGTGACCGTTTGTCAAATGCCTGTATCGTCAAGTTTTATTTGCAGTTGTCCTTTAAGATTAAAGAGCTTGAGTGTGAGTCAAGATGCATGTCACGCAGTACGATGTCAGGATATCTCCTTTAGCTGTTCAAGGTGGAATGTGTTTTGGACTTCTTGGCTGTAATGGGTAGAAGTTCCCCTGTAGCTTTCATTTGCTCAATTTTCCGGGAAAGGTTCTCATCGTTTTCTATAACAACAGCACATTTCTGAGCATACTTGACCAATGTCTCTTCCCTTGGGTGAAAGAGTCCCACTACCTGCAGCATCTCTTTGGCTGCAAGATGGAGCTCTGCGATGGGCGCGGTGTTGGCAATGGTGTTCCTGTCGATGCCATAGTGCCGGAAGGCCCCACTCATGCTCTTTTTCTTGTTGAAAGCGGACAGCACCTGCTTGTACCGATGGATGACATACTGGACTCCCGTTGCTAGAACACATGGAAGTGCCGTGGTTATTAAAGACATTTTTAGTTAGTGTCTTCAAACCATACACTCAGAATACAACCTAGACAGTAAGCACTGGGTCCTTATTCTTGCATCTATAATAGGACAGACTGATGCACTGTGAGTTCAGCATTCTGATTTCACCCTTTTAGTTATATATTCATATCTGTATATACATTCATAGTAATGTGAATATAATCAATCATAATTATCATATTATAATAACAATTTATTGTGATTCATAATAACCTTAATATAATTTATACATACATATACATTTAATTCATATGCATATAAATTCAGTGCTTACAGTATATATTTAACAATATGGAAGCACTTAATTTTGTATTTATAAGCTTTTGGACTTTGGAGCTTGTTTAGTTTTTACAGTTTATCGCAACCGAATGAGGCCTTTGATCTGTTTCATGCTTGAGTGTGTTGGAAAACTAGCATGAATGTCTACTATAAAATAGTGCATTTGTTAAGAATTTCACTTGAGAAATGTCTGGAAATTCCCCCAACAGATGCTTTAATCTGCCAAAACATGGCATATTAATGCAGGGGAACATATGAAGAGTTTAACCATAATATCACCTGTACTTTTTACTACACTCTTTTTACTGTTAAGCACTGAAAACAATATGCAAGAAAAAAAACTGGCAGGAAATCACATCTGGAATTTCAAACTTTTTCAACAGATTCCTCCCAAATCTAGGCATTAGCTCTCGGATACAGTTACAAATTGACTTTCCCACATCTCTTTCCTTGTCAAAGTTAGTAACTGCTTCTTGTGTGTTGACATCAAGCAAATTAAACATCCTAAAAAGTAATATTGCCCTTCATGTTCTCCTTTCTTCATGAATCTATGTTACTTACTAGATTTCACTTAAAAGATAAACCGCCTACATGCTTCCTTGCAAAACAAAAAGACATAAACAAAAGCTGTTTTTAAATTCCTCAGAGACCTCAAAAAATGGCTTAAATCTTCATTGAATACAATGATGAATACGATAAGTGTCCTCTAGTTCTGATTATCTACGTACCTCTCTTCCTACTATAATCTTTAGCTTTCTTGCCTCTCCTCTTGTCCTTGTGGTGTCTTTTTTTCTTCCCATCATTGGATGTCCCTGAGGACACCGTGGTCAAAGATATGTCAGAGCCGCTGTCATTGCTGAAGGATGAGCTACTCGATGCCGTCCTGGACCTCTTCCGTGGCTTACTCTCTGAATACAAAGATTTTCCTGGTTTTGAATCTGCATTCAATCAGAGCAAAAAAGTAAACAAGAAATGCTAAACTGTTTGCTACACCTGCACAATAAAAACAAATAAATACAGTAGCCAGCAGCCATATCACTCTGCAACTGACAACTGGCAGCCCACTGAAGCTCAGCAGGTGTGAGCCTGGCCAGTACCTGGATGTGAGACCTCCTGGGAAAAACTAAGGCTGCTGCTGGAAGAGGTGTTAATGGGGCCAGCAGGGGGCGCTCACTCTGCGGTCCATGTGGGTCCTAATGCCCCAGTATAGTGATGGGGACACTATACCATAAACAGGCGCTGTCCTTCGGATGAGATGTAAAACCGAGGTCCTGACTCTCTGTGGTCATTAAAAATCCCAGGGCATTTCTCGAAAAGAGTAGGGGTGTAACCCCGGAGTCCTGGCCAAATTTCCCATTGGCCCTCACCAATCATGGCCTCCTAATAATCCCCATCTATGAATTGGCTTCATTACTCTGCTCTCCTCCCCACTAATAACTGATGTGTGGTGAGCGTTCTGGCGCACTATGGCTGCCGTCTCATCATCCAGGCGGGGCTGCACATTGGTGGTGATGGAGGGGAGTCCCCATTACCTGTAAAGCACTTTGAGTGGAGTGTCCAGAAAAGCGCCGTGTAAGTGTAAGCGTAATTATTAAGTAATAAGTGTTAGTAATAAGTGTAATTATTATTATAATATATTCACAAGTCATTTTAATAGTAGTTTAACACTTGGTTGATTTGTCGTGCAGCAAGCGTTATCACAAAGCACATGTAACTGAGTCACGGACTTTGCAGAATTCAGTGCTATTGAACAAAACAATACACCAGGTAGATTCTGTTGATGAAAAAACAATTTTTGTAATCAGCTTTAAAATCTGAATCACTGCACAAGCTGTAAACTTTCCAAACAGTATATTTAAAATCCAAGTACTATGGCTGCACCAAAACTCTACATTATAAATCAGAAATATTAAATGGAAAAATATTCTGTGTAATATGTACCTTCAGTTATTGACTTTGCACTGGTTAGATTCTCAATCTGGGAACGAAGAAATTTGCGATCTTGCTGCAGATCCTCAACCTGTTTTTCGAGGAAGTTGATCCTTTCCTGTTTACTTTCCAAAAGGCATTGGAGCTTTGTGATGGTCAGCATCACACTTGGAGATAGAGCTTCTGTTGGAGATAACGCTGGGGGGACAAAGGCAGTGATTTATTGAACAGTCTGAAATTTTTCAGCTCACTTACTCTTACTTATAGCAAACAAAACTACTTCCTTGTTAACTTCCTCTTTAAATTGTTAACATCCTACAGATTGTGTCATCATTTAAAAGACAGCTACTCCTGACAGGTTGGGTTAATGAGGAAGAGCCAAGCTCATATTCCTAACAGACGTGGTGGTAGGCTGATGGGCTACATGTCTTTTGGAGCTGCAAGGAAACTACAGTACCCCCAAAAAAATCAATGTAAACACAAGGCGCAAATGCAGACACAACACAGAATCAATCCCAGAATTCAAGAACTATGAGGCTGTGGTGCCGTTCTTCCTGGTTAACTACATGTTTTTATTTATATTCAAGACACCAGTGGCACTGTGTCCTATGGTTTACACTTTAGACCACAGATCTGGTTGCACGTTGTTAGAAAAAGAGGGACCGACACTGAAGACAGTTCCGATCGTTGCCCTACTACAGTAATTTCCCTTAATGAACAAACAACGTGCAGGGGAACTTCAATGCTGTTTTCATATTTTGGGGTCAGAAAGAATCAGCATTGATGAGTGTATTTCAAACTGCAATAAAAATAAAATGTACACAGTATCTTGTAAAACCTCCAATTTACATCACCATAAAGTGGAATTTTCCAGGTTTGCACAGTGTTGTGATTGCAGCGATTCAGAATGAGGTAACAGAACTTCTGGTGAGGTGAAGAGGCCCCATGACATTGTAAACACGCAGGCTTGTGAATACATCTTTTTTAATCCAATAGCAATATTGCTTTTGATTTTGAGACAGTTTTGCTGACAAATACTACTTGCTTGTTAACTCTGCACGCAGATCACGTTGGAACATTTCTGTGGTGAAACGTCTGCTGCACAACCTGTATTTATTCGCTTATACATCACTTTACATTATTGCGACTAGTGAGCAGGAAGGGCTGCATCACGTTGCAATTCGTGGGAACTCGAATGCAAGTTTGTGACAAAATGGCGACTTTCACTAAATTAATGATTTTGTGCTTAATTCAAAATTTCTAATATTTTTCTATAACATCAATTAATTTATTTTCTTACCAAGATGTACAGTAATAAACAGTCTGAGAAAGCTGGACTGCAGTTCCCCTTTAAATAAACTCATCTGATGATGGATTGGCAACCAATACATTTTTTTGTACAAACTACTGTAGGTGCTTGCTTTTTTATACTGGTCTACTGTATATATCACCTAAGTTTATATAAACACAGGTGCCTACTTACAACAATACTGAGAGAAAGCTGACAGAAATAAAAAAAACCTAAAGTTATTGCTTTTGCAGTCTTTGTCTTTGGTCTAAATGAGATGGGACATTCCACTGATTTTACAGTAGTTTTATTTCTAAATATTCCTGCAACTTCCTATAGAAAACATCAAATACTCAAAAAAAAAGTCCTAAATTAAAGTGGACAAATCTAAAAACACAATTACATTCTCAAAAGTGTGTTTTCTACAGGCTTTAAAGACCTGTTTTCAACATTTTGTATATTGTATCTTACAGCGTTTCACAAAGGTTTTTCAAAAGAGGCTTTGGTAACGATTTATTTGAATGTTGTCTCCATAATTCCTTCACAACTGCTACACAGGACATTATCACATGCATAATGCTTTGAAGGGACATGGGCAAATGTCATACAGAGCTCATGACATTTATTTTAGCATTGTGTATAGCTCTTGGTACGATGCAACATTCAAATAAAGCGTTTATATGTTGTACTTTGTGCTGGCTGTTTTCCTGGAATGGTATACACAGTAAAATAAAGTTTGCTTGAGTCTCTTACTGGACACTGCGCTGCTCAGGGTGTTATCCTGTTCCACATCGCTTGTCGTTCCTGAGGTCCGGGTGTCCCACTGAGCAGTGTCTGGATCATTCTCTTGTTTCATCCAGTGCTGCGAGCTCACTTTTGCTTTCTTTCTCATGGCTGAGCTGGAGTGTATTTCAACTTCTGGGGAATACCTTACAGCCTTGTCTGGCCAAAGAGAGGACATCTCTTCTAAAGGCCCAAATGCCTACAAAAGAGAATAGTACTGTGGCACAATCACCTCAAAACAGCTGGGACCAGTCACGTTTCGGTTACCACTTTTGAAATAAGAAATAAAACTCAGAGGACACAAGGAAACTTGGACATGCACCTCTCCTAGCCAAGAGAAGCAACACTTGGATGTAGGTAAAAAAATTACACAATTCCAACTGGGACAGGTACTTTATGTTTTTTAGATCTTTCGTGACAAACATATGACTCTTTAAAGGAATTGGTTATAGTGCCAAAAAATCTTATCAACATACGAGAAACCATCTTTTCTCATTTAGCATTCAGATTTTTCATTTTTAAGAAGTACACTGAATACTTTTGGAGGGAAATAATTCCTTACACTTATATACTGTAGCACTTTCTCTGGTCACTCCACTCAAAGCACTTTCCCCTCCACCTGGTTGAACAGCAACCATTGTGTGCCAGTCTGCTCTCAAAACACCAGCTACCAGTGAGGAGAACAGAGTGACGAAACCAGTTCAGAGACGGGGATCATTAGGAGACCATGACTGGTAAAGGCCAGGGGGACATTTGGCAAGGACACTGGAGTAACTGGAGTAACTCCTATTCTATTCGAGAAACACCATGGAATTTTTAATGACCACAGAGAGTTAGGACCTCAGTTTTACATCTAATTCGAAGGGTGATGCCTTTTTACAGTATAGTGTCACTATACTGGGGCATTAGGACCCACACAGACCGCAGGGTTAGCGCCCCCTGCTGGCCCCACTAACACCTCTTCCAGCAGCAACCTTAGTTTTTCCCAGGAGACTCCCATCAAGGTACTGGCCAGGCTCACTCCTGCTGAGCTTCAGGAGGCTGCCAGCTGCACCTCAGATTCCACCAAGATTTGAACTCAGATCACTGGATTCAGAGTCCAGAGTGCCAACCATCACACCATAGAACCAAATTAATTACGGTCTTCCCATTAACACAAGAAATGTCTCACAATTGTGTTTTTTTAAACTGAAACTCACTTTTAATATGTCAGTAAAACTTACTGTATATTGTATGATCAAAGGAATATACAGTATTTTGTCTCTGGTTTATTCTTATTGACCATCCTACAATTCTATCAAAACAGGCACTGGCAAATTATATACAAAATACTAACACTTTCAACTGATTTGATGAGAGCTTCAAAAAAGTTATTGGTTGAAAACTTATTTTGGGTTCATTTCCAAGAGACGTAACCCAGAAGGAATCTGCCAGTTTTTAACAACTCCAGTCACTAAGCACGTTAAGGATTTAAAACTTTTGAATATATAATTTTAAACTTTTTCTAACTTCAAATGTTATTAGACTAAATTCCTAAATTAAAAATAATTCGGTTGATGTACAGTATATTGCAATTAACCTATATTTAACTTTATTCCTATACAATATAATTCAATAATTAAAATGTTTATATGTGCTGTAATAATATGTGACAACTAACCATATATACAGTACACCACGTATTTAAAAGGAGTAGGATTTGTGAATTCAATATCAGAGATACAGTAGAAGGGTGGTTAGTTTTGGCTTAATCTTCATAGAACTTAGACGCTTTAACACCTTCTAGCCTCTGGAAAAAGAGTCAGTTTCCGCCTTGGATGATGTCCCCTCAAGCATTTTGAAATAACTCCGGAAGTTTATACAGTAGAAGCCTGGTTCATGGCTTAAATTAAAGCTGAAAGGTCCGTGCCATCACAACACCAGCTCCATAACTCTCCCTTAACAACGACGTCTACTGCAGCGCCCCTGTCCTTTCAGGCCACATCTTTGCAGAAACAAGCTACAGAACCCGTGCATGACGTCATTCAGGCGTTCACCCATCCTCCGTCTCCATGGAGACAGCGCAATAACCAATAATCAGCGAATCGATGAGGTCAAAAGGATGTTTTTGTAATGTTTGCTTTCCTTCCATGGAATACTTACAGATTAATAAAGAACATCAGTATTTGTTATTATTTTATAGTCTTAATGTCAATACAAATAAAGAGCGTAGTTTGTATTTTGCTACGAAACTGTCCAATTTCTTAACGATGGAATAATGTAAAATACGGACACGTTTAAAAACATTTAAGGTAGAGTCCTGCGTAAGCCATTTAATTTTCTCTTTTTTAATTAAACTAACACGAAGGCCTAATTCCACAAATTAGAATATGTACTGTACATATACTTTATTTTTTAATTATTTTAAATGGATGCCGAACAGCTTACTAGTAAAAAAAATCTAGCATCTGCAAAAATACATACCTCTGTAGTTTTCCCCCACACAGAGCACAGGATTTCCAGCTTGCCACTAGTTAAACTAAGAATTATTTTCCGGGGCAAGGGGCTGTTTTTTTTTTTTTTCAAGAAAACACAGCTAGGGCTTTTTTTTTCTTTTTTTTTTTTAAAAGAAACTGCATACCTCGAAAGCAATCTTCTTTGTGCTTGGGGGTGGGCAGGTGATTGACGACGTTGACAAACCTACCGACCAGTCAAAAAAGGAGCCGTTTTCGGAGAGCAGCAGCCTTCCTCTTCGTCAGCCTGCTGGGAATGCAAGTGCATTTCGGGATTTTGAGTGTAAATCAGAACTATCCAATTCGAGTTATTCTGCAAACCTCAGCAAGTCATTCTCTCAGTAAATTTACCGTGCGGACAGCTCAGTGCGCTCATTCAAAAACGAGCTCCTTTAATGTCTGGAAGAAAATGTAACATACCTGCAAAGGCATTTTTAGCGTTGTTGTCAAAAATGCACTTATTATTAATTAACCGTATATACTAACATTATTATTAATATTCTACAATTAATACATGTATATAATTCATATTTTTTAAAAAAATACTTTAAAGGTTCTTTTATTTACCTCTCTGCTCCTACTGTCTTCAGTACCTCCATCTACTGTCTCCACTCATTGTGTATTTTCATTGGACATATCTTGTGGATTTTTTTATTGTTGTTGTTAAGTAAAGCCACCTTTAAAGTCGCTATACAGAATAAAGTTGTTATTATTGTTGTTATTATTATTAAAACCATATAAGGCCCATTATACAGCATGTGTGTCTACTGCTGCTGTGCTCTGCCCCCTGCTGGGATTCCATTACTGTCACTCATGGTCTTGGAGCAGAAACAGCATCACTCCTTAGACAGCAATGAAGTCTGCTCTTCCAAACGTCCAGGTCTTCTGCCAGCGAACACACTCTACACCCTCGTGGTTTCAAGGGGAGTGAGGTAACTTCGACCTGGCGCCAGAGAGTGGCGACGTGTTGCACGTTGCTCCTCGTCTGTATGTCTTTGTCTGTTTCAGGTTGTGGGCTGTAAGCATTTCATTGCATATGTGCATATGACAAATAAAGTGAACTGGACTTCATGTAACATGTTCAGTGTCACTGAGCCCTTCTATGTATTGTAATGTATGTACAGTACTGTATCTCCTGGATGGTTCAAGGTCCACATTTACAGAAACACACATTTCTGTTTTGTATTGGCTGATTTTGACATTGAACTTTTGTTTTGACTGAAATGAATACAATCAGTCAGTGGAATTCATATTTTAAAATGGCCGAATCTACGTAGTTCTTTCATCAATCAATTTAAGAGCAGATTTATTCTGTCACGCATTAACTGATACCAATACCAATCGCCAAAGAGCAGCAGGTGAAGTGGGAAGTGTGATGGAACAATGCTGGAAGGAGCGATATCCCTTTAATTTGAATGCAGTAGGAGAGTGAAAGAAATATGGGTGCTTTCCTTTCTGATGAGAGAGACGAAAAAGAAAACAGCCTTTCTTAGTAATTATAGAGGAACAGCCCACATTTAATCACAGCTTTCAACACTTACTGTATAATTCGAACTTCAACAATTACCCATTTTTGTGAGGAATTTAGTGCCCAGTGAAGTTGCCCCCCCTCCCATTGATCAACCAAATGTGCTTATCTGTCTCAATTAAGTATTCAGTGCCACAGCACATCTATGCAATTACTGTATGAGTCATGCAGCAGCGACATCAAACAATGTGGCACTAAGTACATTTTAGACCTTAAAACTGATAGCAATGCTTAATATAATCAACCTCATGCTTAACTAGCTTTCAGAAACGTGAATGAATAAAAAAAAGCAGAAATTCTAAACTGGAAACAAAAAAGAACATTGTTTACACCTAGTGGTCATAATGTTGGAATGAGCTTTCAGTAGGACGATTAACATCACACAGATTTTTCCATCCACAGTACAAAGATGCATTGAGTGTGAGCTCCATAGCCAGTTTTACTTACTGCAGTATTTCAGCTGCCTGTTTGTCTCTTGAGATCCATTTCAGGGTGTCTGTTCCCGGTGCTCTGTGCCCTGTCTACAGCCATTTTAGTCTCTTCATTCTTATAATACTTTTATGTTCATTGGCCATTTCAATATTTCTTCTTCTGTTTTCTTACTCCGAGTGGACTTCTTTCAAATGTTCCTTTATGTTGTCCATCGGATACATAACGTGTATATACAGTATATACTGTATGTAACACTTATATGTTTTTTTTATCAAAATACAACTTATCCATCCATATTAACTGGTCAGAGTTCACAGCCTCATTCTAACCCTGGAAATGCTATGAAATAATAAATAATTATTTAATTTTCACCCCCTGACCAGCAAGGCATCACTGTTCCATTACTGAGAAAGGTGTAGACTGTTATAAAAAACTAAAACTTGACATAATCTCTACAGTATAACACCGTTCCTCTACATCAGCATCCCATTAATATTCTACAGTACCCCTTGCCATACACATCTTTTACAGTTTGTCATTTGTTCCCTGTCTTGAAGGTTGTTTCAATCAGTGTATTCTTGAAATCATTTGGGGTGGGGGTGGGGGGGTGTCTCATCATTCAAAATCCATACACATGATGAAAAAAATTTAGTTTCTGTCGACTGTGCTTTAAAATGTTCTGGGGAATTTCTTAATTTCCAGCTGCTTTCTTGTTCTTCATTCACTTGATGGCTTTCTGTACATCGCCTCATTTAATGTTGGTCGAGTTCAAAACTCGCCTCTCATTGGGCAATGTAGAATGAAATTTAAGGTAGCATTGTTGAGAGCAACTTCCTAATTGAATATTTGTTCAAAATATGGCCCTTCCAACAGGTGTAGACCTCATTTTCATTGATCGGGTCCTTAAGTGTCAAAAGGATTGGCCCTCAGTTACTCAGTCTTCATGGAAGTTAAAAAAAAAAACTCTGATATCATTTATGCAACCAAGATGTTGACTTACCTTTATCATGTCTGTCTACAAACTGTACCTTGTGTTTTTAAACCTTCAACATTGCTTGCTGATGGTGGGCCAGCTTCACCTGCTTGGAGTTTGGGTCACTCTGCATGTGATCATTAATCACCTGGTCGTTTCAAAAACAGCGCACCTCTGCAAACACCCAATTTGAAGCCTCCTCCTCCGAGATTCCAAAAAGAATCAAACCTGGCACAGAAATCTTCCCTGCTTTCATGGTTTGAAAGTAATTCAGGTTTAGGCACCTGACCAGAAAGGATGCAGAACCCGAGATATTTGATGGTGTCATGGATAGTCGAGTATCCCCTGGAACTCTCCAAAGACTGCAAAGAGAGGAGTGGCACCAGTCTGATATGATCCAAATTGTGTGGATTGGAACAGCAGAATCCTGCTTTCTTCTTTCAGATGTTAGTTGAATATCAGAATTGATCCTAGCCTTTTTATCCTTAACTAATCAATGCAATGATATAAATAATAATAAATACTCATTAGAATTGTATTTATTATTGTATTGTAATACATTAATTATAATAAACACTAATATTGAATACTAATTATAATGGTGACTAATTGTTATTTAAGAATTAATTATTAATTAATCATCAATCATTAATAATAATAATAATAATAATAATAATAATAATAATAATAATAATAATAATAATAATAATAATAATAATAATAATAATAATAATAATAATAATTAAGTAGAATTAGTCTTTTACATTTCTTTTACATTCTGCTTTGGGAATTCCAGTAAAAATCAAGTGAGTAATCAGGATTTGTGTAATAATAGTTTAGCCTTTAATCTTATACTGTTTCAAATCTAACAGGTTACTTTCTGAGAAAGTGAGGAAGATGTCTATTAAGAAAACTACTGTATAAGGTATAAAAATACAGTACCCACTGAATAGAGCCATCGGTTCTATTTATAGTATAGGTTCCATTAAGCATATTTGTACAAGGAAGTGACAATTTAACTGCATTTGAGTTGAAGAGATATTGCTGCACTACAGAAAAGGACTGGTCACCCCATTTCCACTGGGCATTTAGTTGAAGAGTAATACTGTACCGTATAGAAAACCCTAAGGACTTCTGCAGGACATTTTATACAGTATTTATGCAAACATTATTCTTAATGAAACAAGGTTCAGTAAGGAAAAAGCTGGCATAGTATGCAAAAGATATCTACAAAACAATGGAGTAAAAACACTTTTTATCAAGTGCCAGTAGTATAATATACAATAACTTATTGCAGACACAAAAAAACACAGACAGTGTAATTTATCACTGCCGTTCTTGGTAAAAGGTATCTATGCAGATAATTAGTCCGACCAGTGACTGCTGGAATAAAAAATAAATAAATAAATAAATAAATAAATAAATAATAGAGTTCACTAATATCTCACACATATTTAAAAATATTGACTTAGTGATCAAGCCTGTCCAGGCTGACAGGTCTCATTTAACCCAAAAGCCATATACTCTTGTTATGATACAGGAAATAGGAAAGCTTACAGGTCTCCCACTTCATTGCATCTTTTACCTTAAGTACGTCCTTGATTAATTAGGCTATTAAACCTTTAATTAAAATTAATTTGGATGAACTTTGTTTAAAACAAACAAAAAATAATTACATCTGCTTTCTTTAAAAAAATAAATTGATGTATTAAAGGAATTTAGCAACAGGCCATTTTTATTGTTTTGGTTTATATAAATAGTGGTTAACTTGTGATATTGCTATAAAACTTATTAGACCCCAAAGCACTTTACTCTGAGCATTCCTAACATCAATGTCATTGTAGACCCTGAATATTTTAACAATTAATTTTTGTTCTTCCCATCGGAACAAAAGTAACTTTTTGCATCAGTCTTTAATCAAAGACTCAATGTCAGAAAAACACAGAGAAGTGGTGATTGTCGGCAACTTCATTCTCCGAAACAAGGCAACAGTGACTTGTAGCAGAGACCATGGGACAACCATTTCTTGTTGGAGTTCAGGTGACCAATGTCATCCATACAGTATATTCCACAGGCTCCAACCTAGGGCAGGCAATGACCCAGTTGTCCATGTGTGCAAAGATGACATTGCTATAATAATAATGCCTTACACTTACTGTACACAGCACTTTTCTGGACACTCCACTCAGAGCACTTTACAGATTATGGGGACTCCCCTCTGCCACCACCAGTGTGCAGCACCCACCTGGATGATGCAACTGCAGCCGTAGGGCACACAGTACGTTCACATTTAACATCCTCAACACATTCAACACATTCAAACACGTTGGCAGGACAGAGATTTTTTCAGGAATTCTTCCAGCACCAGTCAAAGGTGCACAAGCACAAAGGTTAATCCAGCAACACAACATGTGGTTGAGGACATGGTATCCAGAAAAAGGCCTTTCTCGGCCACAGGAAGCCTTTTCATGACAAAAACCATCTAAATATGACAGATTACATCTGAATGAAATGGGCATCAGTTGCCGTGACAAAGGGATCCACAAAGACATCCCGAAACACTTCAACTAGGAGGAGAAAGAAGAGAGGAGGAGCCAAAAAAACTCCAGAAAGCCACCATATTAGCAATGAATTATGATAAGGCTGGCATCACATAAACTATGACCGAAAATGATAGAGATTACTGTAACATTATCAGATACACACAGTTCTGGAGAGACAGGAATGGCAGAAGAGGAGAAGGTATGGAGCTACTGTATATACTGTATAAAAAAAGACGAATTAAAGCCTCTGAAACCATATGGATCAGACTGTTCAAAAACATTCTGAAGGTGCAGTGATAAAGGCATGCAATAGACCAGCAAAGGCAGACTTTGAATATCATTCAATACTACTGTAGATACTGCAGTTAGGAATTACTGTTCAAAGGAAGAAGTCGTTTTTATGGGAGACTTTAACTTTCAGGACATAGACCACAAGAAGCCTGTTGGAAAAGTTTAAAGCAATAGTAAATCATCAGAATTTCCAGTGGTAGACATGGCTAATGCCTGCTTTCTTATCCTGTTTTCTGGAGCACCTACTCCAAAAATCAGGAGAAATGCTTGAATTGTTCTTGCCTATTCAGACAATCAAGACACACCGGTGAGAGAACCATCAGAGGATTGTAGTCATAAGGTTGAGCCCAAATTCAAATCTACACCTTCAGGTAAGGAGATTTCTAAGGAAGGAAATGCCGTTTTTAGAGAAGCAGAATGTGAGGGGATATGGTATCGGTGTGAACTACAGTAGATGGAAACAGTTCTAAGAGATTAATTTTGAAACGTTAAACACACTTTTCCAACCACCTAGTAAATGAAAAGCTAATAACATTACCCTGGGTGGTTCAACAAATAAATTGTGAAACAAATACACAGACAAAAAAAGCCAGTGTGGAGGCACAGTGGTTAGCATAGCACTAGTGTCTCACCCACTGGTGCTGGGAACCTGGGCTCAGTTCCCAGGTTGCTAACAGCAGGGAGATGGTACTGTATGTTCTCTCTGTGTTTGAGTGAGTAGTGTAAGGGTGCAGTGATTAGCACTGGGGCCTTGGGTTTAATTCCAAACCTGGGATGCTATCTGAGGGGACTTTGTATGCTCTCCCTGTGTTCACATGGGTTTCCTGCAGGGGCTCTGGCTTACTCCCACAGTCCAAAGACATGCTGGTAGGTTGATTGGTTTCTGGGAAACTGGGCCTGGTGTGAGTGTACAGTATATGTGTGTTTGTGTCCTACGAGTTTCCGATGGACCTTGTTTTCCGTTGCTTGCAGGAATTAAGAATAATATATTGCTACTCCAGAATCAGTCTAGCCAAGAGCAAGGACATACATTTTGGGAGTGAAGGGAATGTCTTACACCGACAGGCTGAAGTCAGAATAAGGATAACCAACTGCAAAAATATTTTTTAAAATTATACTTATTAAATGAAGCATGTCAAATTTTCTTGAAAGTATGTTTTTGTTGTTCAGCATTTAGTCAGTGTGATAAAGTGTGTGTGACTGGTGTGAAAACTGGTATTTTAAATATGGTGTTTAGCACATTCTGTAGCATTCATAACTAATAAACATGCATTCATTCACATATTACAAATTCAGAGAACATTTGTAAGTGTAGGTGTACATCAGATTAGGTGTGCGGTGTTCAGCACAATTACTTATATTTCATATCAACCTTAGTTAAACCTCCAAATAGAATTTAAAGTTCTGAAGCAAGTTGCTTGCTATTTAACGTTTTGTTTTCCAGAGCTCACCTACTGAAAGACATTCAATTATTTTCTTTCCACAGTTGAATAACCATGCATAGAGAGATACGTTTCAGAATTAGAATCTTTATAAATGCTTCCTGTAGCAAGGATGGATGGCAATTCTAGGAGTCTATTTTTAGAGAATCGCTTAAATAATGCATAAAAAATAATTTTACATTCCATAAATTAATACGGAAAGAATCATAACCAAAACAAGAACAGATTAGTTCGTTAAGGGTGCCATCTGCTGGCAATAGTGGAAATCATCATTCAGACTACCTACAGTAATAAAGAGATCTAGACTGCCTAGCTCTAATTGATTTTGAAAACATTAAAAAAGCTCATTTAGATGAAAAATGGCAAATTTGAATATTTTTCTTCTCACTTCTCTAAAGTTGTGTTTCAAACAGAACAAAAACACAGCTCCTTTTTTAACAGCTGTCTCTTGCTGAATTAAAATGTTTGCATTTCCTATGAAGAAAAGGCTAAACATTTCATTAAAGAGTGAGTACTTTCTCCAAGTCAAAAGAATATCATTTGTTTTTTAAAAAAAGAGTAAAGAAGGTGCTAAACAGGAGATTGGAAGGAAGTCGAACTGTAATCTCGTATTTCTACTCTCTAACATTCCTCATTCCTCATCTGTACCATTCCTTCATTCCTCATGTGTGAGAGTGGTTGTGATAGCACTATCATATTAAGTACAGTATGCTATTCCTTTATATAGGTCTTGAACATTTTGTAATTAAAAGTTGAAATGACTATTAGATGTCCAGAGACCCCATAATTAATGGCATAATAATTTTAATGTTTGTGTGTAAGGCTCAGACATAATTAGCAATGATGCCAACAACAACTACAATACAGAACTGCCATTACACAGCTGTTTATTGAGCCCCAAAACATTGATAAGGTGCCTCCTTTCTTGCAGCAAAATTGATCTGGTCGATGCAGAGATTAATCCACATACAGACGAAATGGGACACCGCTGAATCCTTTCTGCCTCAGCTGAGAAAAGAAATACAATTTCATAAACATTCCTTGAAAAAAGTCTACATTTATATGATAAAGCTCTTCAATATGAAGATTACTGCCATTTAAATTGCTATAGAAAGAAAGGACAGTCTTAATAGGTTATCACTGAGCCTGTAACCTCCAGGGAATCCAAAACATTGTGGACATTGATGAATCTTATTCCTTTGGGTTTGCAAAATCCATAATGCACACGTTGAAATGCTTTTACCAGTACCTCATTAATAACATGTCTTTGGTTGCTTGTTTTAATGCCTTTTGGCAAAGTTTGCTACAAATAAAGCCAAAACTGGACAATCCGGCATGATGATTTTGATCCAGATCAACAAAGGAATGGTTAAGGAGGAACTGCAATGCTATTTTCATGTTAGAAAGAATCAGACTCGTAAAAGGAATCAGAAAGGTTCATCAGGTTGAGTGCATTTCAAACCGCAATAAAAGTAAATTGAACGCAGTAACTTGTAAAACCTCTAATTTACGTCACCAAATAGTGGAAATGTCCAGGTATGCACAGCGCCCTGTTCTGCGATTCAGAACAAGGCAACAGAACCTCTGGTGACGTGTGGCGGCCCTATGACATTGCAAACAAACAGGCTTGTGAACACATCTCTTTAAATTCAATAGGGATTTTGCTTTTGATTCCAAGACGGTTTTGCCAACTAACACTACTTACTTGTTAACTCTGCATGTAGACCACGTTTGAACATTTCTGTGGTGAAATGTCTGCTGTACAACCTGTATTTATTCGCTCGTACATCACTTTACACTAGTCATTATGGTGACTAGTGAGAAGGATGGACTGCATCACGTTACGGTTCACTGAAACTTGAGTGCGAGTTTGCATGCAACCACAAATGGCGACTTACAGTACTTTCACGAAGTTCACAATTCAAAATTTGTCATTTGTTTCTATAACATCAATGAATTGATTTCATTACCGAGATTTGATAACTTGTATGAGAAAATGGGACTGTAGTTCCCACTAAAATGCGTACAAAATGCTCCGAATTAGTGTTGCTGAATGTCCCTCTCAATCTTCTGACCTCAGTACATTGGGCATTGGTGATTCTAACTCAATATGGCAGCTCGCTAATGGAAATCAAAGAGCCTGTGGGACTTTAATGCTACAGTACATGGATGAATGTCCTCATGATACTACAGTAGTATCATGAGTAGTATATGAGTCATCTGGTCAGTGTAATATCTGCCAGAGGAGGATTTACAAAATACTAACTACCAGGGTGTGAATAAATGTGGCTCCTGTGTTTTCTGGACTTTAATGATCTGTGAATAATATGACTTTGCTTTGAGCAATACTACAGTATTACTTATTATTAATTGAATGGATTCATGTTTATGGGACTGATACAAACCGAACCCTTAGGAATGATCATGAACTCCTACCTGTTCCTGAGAAACAATGCCGGTGGAATTGAAGGTTCTTCTTCTAGGAGAGAGCACATGTTCGACTGGAGCGCCACTTCCTGGCTTTCCCCATGTGCAATACTGCATTGTCTCTACATGCTGGAATGTGAAGTATATTCCATTACACTGCACTGTGAATATACAGTGTATAACAGTATTACTGAATAATATAATGCTAGGATTCACATAAGAAGATCCCTGAGGTCAAGACCTTTCCCCATCTAGCTGCAATAGTAAGTCATTACTCCTGTATTTGCTGGAGTATTTGCATGACTTTTTATTTGATGTGCATTCAAATACACTGTCATTTTAATAACAATCAAACGTAATGCTCTAGATAAAGCTCTAAATCTCACTGCCATGTTGTCTTTGGAAACTGAAACCCACAACAAAAATTCAAACCTTAGGAATATGTTCCACACAGTTCCATATACTGTGGGTACTGGTATACATACTGGGATCATTGGTTAATATACATCTAGAAGTTGGTTTACAGTATACGCCAAGCACTTGAATTGTAATTTTAATGATGATTCCTACTGTCATGTGTTTTATGTGTTATAAAATACAGTCTTTTTGTTGTTGCCATTTTCTGGTATGAAGCAACTTAGCAACTATCTTCAATCTGCCTCTCTTGACTTTCTACTTGTTGAAGTGTTTGCACCCAGTGGTGTGACGATAATTTACCATTTGTTCTGCAGCTCCATCTCTCGTTTTGTTCATTTGATTCCTGCGTCTCTTATCTTCTTCCTGCTGTCTTAACTCGGCGTAATAGTTGAGACGTTTCATTTTCTCCTGCTTTTTTTTTGCAAGATGTGGAAATAAATTGAAGAAATTATTTATTGCAACACAGTTCGCAGGAATTAACCAGTATTTTAGTTACAGTATTTCTAAATTACTTGGGGAAAAAATTGAAATTTGTGTCTGTACACTATCATGCATATACTGTATATTTCAAGAGGAATGAGGGCAACCAAAGATCATATGACAGTTGAATCGTTCATCTAGTTTCTCTAAACGTGACTTAAGCTGCTTGGCTGATGGCCACAGGACAGGGAGGCTGCGACCCTCAGGCCTAGTGAGAAGGTGACCAAGGGGGCAGCTGCAAAGGTGGAGATGGGGAGGAAGAGGGATGCAAACCGAGCGAGGAAGAGGAGAGGGTGACATGTGGTACGCGTGGGAACCTGAGAAATTACGTCGAGACTAGTTGTGGGTTGTTGCAGCTGAGCTTAATTGGTCTGGCTGCCCTCATCCCTCCCACACGTTCGTTAGTACTCTATTTAATGACTTCCTGAATAAGCCATGTCACAACTCCTACGACAAAGGGAAATCCAGTGGGTTTGCTCGGTTGGTTACAGCATTCACTGTTCCACCAAGCCTCCACCTCAACCCTCCTTCTTCCCTCTTTACAGCTCACTCACTCAAGAAGACTGGATTGAACCCATACAGTACTGTACTTTGCTTGGGTAATTTAATCACTGTCCTCTCAGCTCAAACGTACTTTAAATGCACTACTTATGGTCGATACTCGAAAGTCAATACTTTGACTAGGAAGCCATTTACCCTCAAATCTGGGAAACCGCAAATACATGTTCTACAGTAATATAGCTGCGTCAGCATGCATAGGCTGCAAAAGAACAAGTAAAGGTTTATTCCAGGCTGAAAGGAAAAGAAAAGAAACAACGTTTCGGCTATGGAGCTTTCTTCGGTTCTGACACCCGAAGAAGGCTCCACATCCGAAACATTGCGTTTCTTCTCTTTTCAGCATGGAATAAACCTTTACTTGTTCCTTTATAGTGAGGTAATTCATACATAAAATCTACCAGATATGGTATATTGTACAAAAGCTTCATATAGAGATTCAATTTTTCAATTCAATTTGGAATACTTTATTCATCTCCAGTGGGACGTTTTAAGAGGACACTCTGCTAAAACATCTTTTCATAAAATAATTAAAATATAGTCATTCATTACCTGTTTGAGAAATCCTGTTTTCTCATTTCCTGGCGGAATTAAATGGCTACCATCGCTGTCTTTACGCTTGGGTCTTAAAACAGGATATTCCTAGAATATGATATTGATATACTGTAACTGGCATATATACTTTGAAAATATATGTTTTGTTTCCTTTTTGTCTTGGATAGTTTGGCTTTGTTTGATTAGAAAAACTCAGAAATATCACTTATCCATAAACACAGAGTCTGAAGTCAGTTGAGAGTGATACAGTTAGGTGTGATACAAGTATTTGCTACTAACATTTTTTAAAGGTTTTTCAATAACCCTTAGCATGTAATACAGATCAAGCAATAATCTTATATTAATTAAAAGGTTTCGATAGAATGTTGTTGAAATACAGTAAAGCTATTTTTCTGCTTCAATTTTAACATATAGAAGAATATGTAAATTCTTCCTTTGTGACACATAGGGGCATCTGTGTCTTGTTGTAAAACAATATCTGTCAGTTTCAGTCCAATTATATTAATGTGCGTAACAGTGAACTTGATGAATTAAGCTCCTAAAAACTGATGTCAAAGATCTCATGACTTAATTATCATTTAAAATAATAACAACATTTGTTCTCAATACATACATGATGACTGCATTTCAGTTTATTATAAAATCAGGGTAAAATGTTCCACGAAGATTCTACATTTTAATTCAGTCTTTGAAATTGTTGTGTTACTTTGGCAACTTGATTCCATGAGAAGAATAGTCACCAAGCAGTGAACTCTCCTACCCTACTGGCGTGAACACTGGTTGGTGGCAGCGCTTCAAAATAAAATGCAAATCAGGATATCAACACTCAAATATTGTAAGAACCGTACATATTCCTACCTTCAATTCTCCATTAAATGTCTCGGGAGAAGTGCTCGTAATACGGTGTCTGTCCTTAGAAGAACGGTCTCTATCACATTTATGTAGCAAGGGCTGGCTGACTGAAGAAAAAAAACTCTGCAGCTGTTTGTACTGTACATATGTATACAGTTTCTTCACTTCAAATTATTGTCATGCTTATCATTTTATTTAATTAAGTCATGCTTTGTTAGACAGCGTTTTGGGGGCTGGGTTCAGAAACATACTTATTGAATTGAGTGAATCAACATGATGCCAAACAAAACATTAAATTCAGCCTACAAAAAGTTATTGTCCAAAACCTTATATGGCGACTGACCTTGTTTTGTTCTGCCAGGATCACAGAAACAGTTTGGAAAGGAGGGATCGCCATTCTGAAATAAGATAGGGAACTGTCCTAAGAGAAGTTATTTGTGAATCATTTGATCGAATGACCAGATCTCAGCTCATTCTAGGAGTTTACATCCCAAAAATAAAGACAGTTGCAGTGAGGGCACATACTGTAGGAACATTGGCTGTTTAAGCCAAGCACAAAGACAGAAGCAGACTCACGGCTGATGCAAGTTATGCGTGTTTGCTCATTTTTATGATTTAACATTTTGGGGACAAATTAAAAAGGGACAATGAGTGATTAACAGTACAGTAAGGTTGTGCTCAATACAGGTTTTCCTGAATAGGTTGTGTATCATTATGTCCACTCCTGGTAGGGTTCATTTCAATAAAGTTGCTGCTTTTTAATTGCAGAATTTGGCACTGATATGTCCATCATGTCCAGACTACTTCTAATTTCAACTAAGCTAGTTTCTGTTTCATAATATCAGTAACAGAATAAAGGAAAACATAAGCAAAATATTTCATGAATGACTATGCTTTCTTGCAAACTGCATAGCTGAATATTACACTAACCTGCCAACAGCACCAAACAAAGTTTAATGGGTGAAGTGTCCCACCCAGTTTTCACAGATGGAAACTAGGGTCTGTTTGTGTCACAATTTCAAACCTTTCATAAAATTAAATCAATGTGAACTATACTTGGGTATCACAGGGCAAATGAAAAGAATTGTACTTCGAATTGTTTCAGCTGTGGTGGGCTGTTGAGAAGCTGCACAGAGAAATCAGGGACATGATGGCAGCATACTTCAGAGATCACAATGTTATACAAAACTTTACAAATCTGTGCACAATCACAGGACTCTGTTCTCCAAAATTGCAACCAAGTGCAATTCGAGTGAATTTATACCTATTACATAAAAAAAACATATCAAGCTGGTTATTATGGCATTCATTTGTGCAAGTGAAAGTCTGTGTTTTGGATTTTGTTTATCCCTTATCTGGTGTCTTTTGATTTACACATGTTGGATGTGACATCATTTAATTACATTAAGCATGGTTCTGAAAAAAAAAAAGATTAAAAGTGAGATGTGGTAAAATCGCTATTCGTGTGCTCAATGGAATGTTTACTGTTAATTTGTGCTCCACTTCATGATAATATCATGATCTGTACACAACTAACATTTTTTCCAGGAACATCGCTGGTTCACAGATTCTGTCAGATGGATGCCCTGGAAAGTCTGATCTCAGTGAATTCTTACAATTTCCTAATTCTTAAGAAAATACTTGTTAATATCATCACTCTGTTACTATCATGTACAAGCTGGGTGTGTATGGGTTTTACCTTTCCGTATTTCAGCAAGGGGAGTTCTGTGTTATACTGTCCTGAAAAAGAGCAGGGAAAAAGTAGCACAAGTTGTACAGCGAAGGTTGCAGTGTCTAGACATTTACCACTTTAAGATCAAACTTAATTTCAAAACATCTTTCTGTCCAAAAACAAAACCAATTTCTACTCATATACACTATCCATACCAGATTTAGCTATAGTAAAGATGGTTTAAAAAGAAAAGTCAAACCTTCTGCTGGTCCTTGGATTACGCAGTCTAGTATGTGCTTTGCTTTTCTGCTTATCATGCCTTTCAAGTGGTCTGTAGATAAAGAAAATGTAATAAAATCTAACTATTTGATCACATGCTGTTCTCACAGTGAATAAAGTTATATATAAATACATTTCAAAAAGTATGTCTAAGAGAGTTATGCTGGAAGCACTTGTTTTCTCAAGTTCCTTCTCTCTTAAAGTAACACTTCATCCTTTATACAGTATCTTACTGTACACACAAACAGTTATGGTATTATAGTGTTTTTCCAACCCAAAATCAAAACGCCAGTGAGCAGAGAACAAGCATCTTCTAATATGGGGGGGGAGTATTTTCAAATTAAACTGATGAACTCTGGAGAACAGGAAAAGATCCAGGGCTGAGTGTTTTCTTAGTTTTAGAGGATTTCTGCCCCAGTACTGTACTGCTCCTCTTTTTTTCCCTCCCTTCCACACCCACCTATTAGCCTGTTACCGGGGCAACCTGCAGTTCCACCAACAGTCACTCTCCACTCTCCCCTGGAGCAGACAGCCAGACAGCCACCCTGGTCCCAGTGTGTCTCCCTGCCACATCAAGTGGGGGAAATAGCAACCACTACAGTATCGTTCCACAGTATTCACACAAGCTGACCTGCACTTTTGTCATTCCAGAAAGAACATCCAGATCCTTCATGAAATGGCCAGGATGAAATCTGAAACAACAACAACTGTCCTGTATCAGTATGAATGGCACACACAACTGGCGAGCTAAAGAAGCTCAGAACTCATGGAAAGACTAAGGTTGTTGCTGGAAGAGAAGTAAACGGGGCCAGTAGGGGGCGCTCTCCATTAACAATCCCAGGGTGTTTCAAAAAGAGTGGGTGTGTTAGCCTAACATCCTGGCCAGATTTCCCCCTCACCTTTCCTGTTGCATCATCCAGTTTGGGGCTACACATTGGTGGTGGAGGGGTGTCTTCATTACAAACACTGTATTTATTTTCATTTCTTTTTGGCCTGTTAACCTTCAATTTATTAGCCAACTCAACAAATACATGGGGGATTTACATTAGTATACAATGATGCACACTTATATCATATCTAATATATCAGTTATTTCCCTTGGTGATGAATATGAAAAATAACCATAGAGAAATACAGACAAAATAAAAGGTACAATTAATCCATAGATATATATTATATAAACAAAGACATGTGCACTTTCCTTGGTGACAGGCTGTCACATAGTGACTTACCAATCTGTTTCCCTTCTCTGTTCTCTTAGTGATTTTTATTTCTGGCATGCTTGTTTCTCCTGAATCCAAAAAGACAGCAATGTGTTTTAGACATGGATCACTATCTAACCCAATTGTACAGTATGTGCACAATGAGAGGCAGAACAATGGGAAGAAAAACATAACAAAGCCAAAGACATCTAGTGTATCTGCAGTACCCACTACACTGCACAATAAAATCACTCTGGAGAGAAATCCATTCCACATTGTGGAAGAAGTTAATATGTGACACAGAATCAGAAAAGACACCAAATTAAATGAATGTAGTGCCAACTAGCATAGTTTTTTATACCTGATGGATATGGGGGGAAGGAATTTTTTTAGTGATCACCTGCTGCAGTTTTTAATTCAAATAGTCTGAATTATAGGAACAAAAAAAAACTACCCCAACCAAATCAGTTATTATGTAACTCTGTATGGTTTTCTGTACTGTCCTTTTTTAGTTCTTTAGCTCCACCATACTTACACTTCTGAAGTATACCTACATTCATAATTGTAAGATTAGTGACCTGTGTCCTGTGGGCCATTTTCTACTACAGTTTAGATTGATTCGTTAAGATATTTCACTTAATTTTACATTACCTCTTCCGCTCTTGTGAAATGTATTTCCATCAGGTCTTTTAAGTGGCTGGTAATCAAACCAAAGACGAGAAATCATTTTGACAGTCAATCCTGACCTCACACAAAAAAAAGATACAGTACCATGAATACAAATGAGTATCTCTGGGAAAGATATGAGATCTTTGAAAATCGACTGTGTGTGTAACTCACCGTAGAGAATTTTGTTTTACAGAATATGACTACCAACGGCGCATATCTTCTAGCAATTCAGCCCAGAGTTACGTGTACTTATAGGATTGTGGAGTGTGTAATGGAAAGTTACTGAGAAAAAGGTATTTTATCCTAAAAATGTTGTTTATGGGCAGAGCTGTGTTGCAGAAGCAGCTGGATTCTTAGAACAAAGTGTGATAGCACCCAGCTCGTCAAGGGCACGGGATCTTTTAATAATGTAATGAAAAAGGGAGTATGAGAAACTATTTGAATAAGTACTCTTTTCTTTGCTTAAAGCAGAAACCTATAAGGAATGGAAAATTACTGCTTCGCCTGTCCTTGAAGTGTTGCGTCAGCTTAAAAAAGACAGAAAACAAGGGGCTCTCCCTGCTTACTTTTGAATCAGCCTTCACTTCCCTGCACAGACCAGTGATGGCTTTTTCCCATATTGCAATATGAATAAAGACCTTACTGAGTGAATGAGAATACCTCTCCTGGCTCTTCTTTGATAAAACTCCACGACAAGTGTTATGTGAAAATTTGGCTGAACCTGCTTGGCTGAGGGCTGACCTCCTGGCCAGAGGACGAGAATGCCTGGACCCCCCTGCAGACAAGGGAGTGACCAGGAGTGACCAAGGGGCAGCTGCAGGGGTGGAGATGGAGTGGGGGTGGGATGCAGAAAGACGGAGGGAGAGAAGGGGATCATGTACAGTATTTATAGTGTTTAGGAGAGGGAGTGACGTCAGGAGTGATTGCTAACTACTGACAGCCGAGTCTGGCTGAACTTGGTTGTTGTCCTCCCTCCTGAGCTTTTGTTATGAACCCCATTTAAAAACAAAACATACACTTCTCTTGAAGGACTTTACAGTTGACGTTTAGTTTCATTTTCAGAGAAGCTCTGCTTCCTGCCCTTTTCACAGGTTGTGGTGAAAAGAACCTAATAAGTACACTAGATAAAAAAGTCCAATTCAGTTTACCGGCTTTGTGGAACCTGGCTTCTTATGAGCTGTGAAATGGGGGGCACTGGCATCTTCAAGGCAAAGCCACTCTAAAGAAAAGAGATAAAAAAACTGTTAACCAAAGAAACACCCAGAAAAAATCCTCAGCCTCAATTGGCAAATGTAAAATCCTTTTTCATCCGATCGCCATCATTGAAGGTGGATTACCGTCTTTTCCCTCACATTCTGGGTCTTCCTCCAAGACTGCCCCTTTGTCCGTGCAGCCCTCAAAGCTGGTACTGGGAAGATTTTCAAAAATAACTGTCAAGTCCGAAAGCTGTCCAGATTTTAGGTTTGCTGTGTGTCTCAGCAGAAAGACAAAACCCACTTACCTTAACTGAATATCTTCAATATGCTTCCAGTAAACTGGATTAATTGTACTATGGCGGTTAGCCCCATGGCTCCAATGTTTGGTTTCGGTGATCTTCAGCTGATTTGTGATTGTAGGATACAGTGTTTCTTCTTCATGCACTTCCTTAAGTTTGAAGTTACAAGCGTGCTTGTTGAGAAATGAAAAAAAAAATTCAGCATTAACTGGAAATGAGAAACTTTTAATTAATCTATCGCTTACTCTATCACTTCACAGCAAATAGTAGATGTGTAGTGTGCGCGATTCTTTTCTTCTAGTCTTCCACTACCTACTGTATTTCAATTTTTCTCCTTTACTGACTTGTCTGTCATTTGATGGATCTCTAGTTCACCATGTAATATAAAATAAAGCAACGACAACGTTAAATTTAACCCCCGCCAGGGAGTGAACGTAACATAAAGTACCACAGGAGAAGACAGGAGGCAGTAAGGCTCCTGTAAAGGACACAGGGGCTGAGTTGGACTTGTAGAATGTGGCATCTTCCCCTGGGTGCTCACGTTCGTGTCTAGTACAAGAGATCTCCTTGAGTCTTTCCTCCTCCTTTGACCGGACCAGACATCTGGGCTAAAACATCGTGACATTATCATCAAGAACAAAAACAATAGCTTCACGGTGGTGTTGAGGTATTTACCATGGAAAATCATTTTGACAGTTGATCCTGACCTCACACAAAGATACAGTACCATGAATACAAATGAGTATCCCTGGGAAAAGATATGAGATTGTTGAACTTCTGCTGTATGTGAAACTCACTGTAGAGAAAAAGGTTTTTTTTTTTGCAGAACACTACCATATACTTCCAGCAGCACATATCTTCTATCAATTAAAAAAAACTTACACTTCTTTCAAAGGACTTTACAGTTGACATTTAGATTCATTTTCAGATTAGGTCTGTGTCCTGGCCTTTCCACAGGTTTTGGTGAAAAAAATGTAATACATATGTAAAGAAAAATCCAATTCAGTTTACCAGCTTTGGTAAAGGCTGGTAGCAAATCCCATATTGCCCACACTTTTGCCTCAGAACAGACCACAGTTTGGACACCTCCAACACAAATAGGAAATTAGTGAATCGTATGCGGCCAGCACAGCTAGTGTGTTTGTTTATGGTATTGTCCTTCTCAGACAAGAGCACACTGATCTTCTAACCTTCATTTCGCTTGGCTGAAGGTACTCCCGTGTCCCCAGGCAGAGTTAAGTTAATGAACTGTGACAAATCAATAAGACTATGAGGTTCTACACCTTCCGTCCTCCTAATTCAGTACCAACGCCCAGAAGAATCCAATTGTTTGGTTACATAAAACACTCCTCAAAGGCTCATTTCCCTAGGAAGAAATAAGAGTACAGAACAAAAAAATGTCCTGTTGGATTTACACTGTTTGTTTAGGTAACATGCCATAATGGTTGTTCACATTTGTTTAGTATTGTATATGGTACCATTTAATATTCTTTTTTCCCCTAAAAAACAATGAACAAATCAAACATAAAAATGGCTTGCTAGTAGTCTACTTGACTCTGTAATCAAAGAATCAGCGGAAGGTGTGACTTTTTTAAATGGACCATTTCCACACTATTCTGATGCATTAGCACAATACACATTTACATACAAATACACACTTATACACATACACACTTACAGTACAGTATGTGCATACACAAAATTCTTGCCTGTATACAAATCTTACCTTCCAATACTACATTTCCAATACAGTACTGTACTGTACGTCCCTGTACGGTTACTGTATTAACATTCGTAGTACCAGCCAGTGTCCCAAAACACAAGTCAGGAGAACCAAAAATCAAACCACAGGTGGTCTTCTGACTTCACTTTGTGAGGTAGAATACAGGTCTTTTTATGCTTTTAAGTGACAGATGTTTCTAACATAACTGTATAGAGAAGAACATGTAAAGGTTTATTCCATCCTGAAAAGAGAAGAAAAAAACCCAACGTTTCGAGGTGTCAAGCCACCGGAAGAAGACTCCACAGCCGAAATGTTGTGCTTCTTTTCTTCTGTTTTAACCATGGAATAAACCTTTACTTGTTCCTTTGCAGCCTGCGCATGCTGATGCAGCTCCCTTCTTGAACTACTAGAGAAGAACAATACTGTTTTACATTCATCATTCAGTCCTCCCCCATCACTCCAATGCAGCAGCCTGCTGTACATCAATTAAAAGCAGCACAGATCTTCAAGATCATCTGTGAGAAACTAGCTCTGTGAAAGATTAGAGGATCAATGACTTGAACGAGCTGCAGGCTGCGGAGCTCGGGAATTAAACTTCAACCACGAAGGAAACATGACAGGTGGTGCAGTGGTCAGGATTGCTGTCTACCCGGAACTGGGGGTCTGGTTTCAATTCCTGGCCTGGTGCGCTCTGTGAGTGGAGTTTGTACGTTCTCCCTGCGTTCGTGTGGGTTTCCTCCGAGTGCTCGAGTTTCCTCCCACAGGCCAAAGACATGCTGGTGGGTTAATGAGCTTCTGGGAAAAAAATTGCCCCAGGTGTGAGTGAGTGTGTGTGTCTGTGACCTGGGTGTCTCATCCAGGGTGTATCTGGCTCCTCCACGACCCTGAATAGGAAGAAGTGGTTAAAAACTGGAGGGATGGGTTCGTGCTGTGCAATATGAATGCTTTTCAACAACACCTTTTCTTAATGAATCAGTCCTTTTTGGGTAGTAGGTGTCCGACTGCTTGCAAGTAATACACCCTTCACATTCTGATTTGAGCTTTTGTTTTGACATTTCTCTTTTCATTTAAGTACAGTTCTCCGCCATTGAAAACATTGTGAACCCCCAAACCATCCTGGATTTGTTTTGTGTTGCAAAATATTTCCCAGTGCTGGAACACAAAACTTACAGCTGTTATGACAGCCTGATTAGAGGAAATGTACTGTAAAATATAAGAATAATCACAAAATTGAAGAATACATATGAATAAGTACAGTATAAGAATATATTAGAACATAGAAGAATAAGTACAAAGTAAATAAGGTCATTTAGCCTATCTAACCTTGCTATTTGATCCAAGTTCAAGTTTCATGAAAGAAGCCAGGATATAGTCTTCAACAATATGGACGAATAGCTCTTTCTATAGCCCCACAACCCCTAAATGTACCACAATAATGCATCATAATATTCTTTGTATAGAATTTCCTATCTACCATAATACAGTGTAGTTGTAGTCTGAGATATTATAATTATTAATCCTTCATACTCCAAGCAATTTCTGCCTGTATTGTTCATAAAACCCCATATTCATAGTTTACTTACATCAGAAATGGTGAATATCTACAAGCATCCCATTTTTTCTGAATTAAGCTATAATGCACTTATGAAAAAAAACAAATTAAACCAAATGTTATAAGGTAGAAAATATAAGTGCTATTATGACATCATTAACGCATCACAGTTTTTCATTCTTAGTGCTTTGTGAGGTTGCCAAGAGCCGTGTGACTTTGGGATCAGCCACAAGACAATTACTTTCAAGCAGAGACACATCTTAAAAGCATCTGTACGTGCTCTTGTTAAATCTGAACTTGTTTAAAGGTCAGGATATTTGAATGTCCTCCAGTTAAACAGCAGAAGACTTCACGCCACGTTCAAGAATTACCTAAGAAATATATGCCATACCATTGATATCCATTAGGGGGCAATGTCTCACTTTGTGTTCTACATGGGAGATAAAAACGGAAGTGTTATTTCAAGGATAAAGGATCTATTATCTATTAATCACAAATTAGTACAGTGTATTATAAATAATACTATATATTATTAATGATTAGATCCATTATATGTTTTGTTATTTTTAATAATTCTGAAAAGTATTCTGTTCACATTCCATAGACCAAATGCTGTTAAATATAATGGCCTCTACAAACTTTGTTTGTACCTACAGTATTTGCAATATTTAGTGTATCTTTTTGGACTGCCTAATAACCTAGTGGATGATCAAAGACGATGATGATTAGATACTTAAATGTTTCAGTGTTTCATTTTATGTCATTTTGCAACTTGTCTTTTTTGCCTTTTATCGAAAAGATCTATTGCTAATTCTGAAAATCTGTCTGCGGTCTTTCTAGTTGACACATACCTGGAATAAGGAAAGAATGCTCTAGTCTGTAATGAGATGATGGACTTTCATTGTCTGATATGCAGGGACCACGTAAGCAGAAAAATGACCTGAAATTTTACATCTGTTCTTTATTATTAATTATTATTCTATAATTAAAAACAGAATTTAGGATTAAAGTAATGTCACAGAGGCCTGAAATGGTTCCTTGTAAAATGAGAAAGAAAATTGTTTGTTTAATAATCTCCAGTACTGTATGTAATCTCTGGAAATATTAGGTGTCGGTTTTGAAGTTTATAATGAATGAGCTTTAAAGGGAGTCTCCTATTCCCTTTCATTTCCCTGTACAGTGAAGCTAATTGGAGTCTGAATTATGTGTCAAGTTAATTGGTTTTACAGGCGTTATATAACATATAAAGCAAAATAGACACCATATCATTGTAAGGCTTTAATTAATCAGTAATGTATCAATCTGAAAACGATTCATTATATTAATACGAGTAGGGAATTGAGATCTTTGTGTTGTATTTTCACGGATACTGTATAGCACAACATGCACACAGAATCAACATGGTTATCTTCTAGAAAGCCCTGAAATAAGTCACTTCCCTACCCAATTGCTTACAATTAAGGTCTTGCACATTTTCATGAACCACGGACTCTGAAAAGTAAAAGTAAATAAAAAGTAAAATGCAGCTTAGCTTTGAAAAATATACTGTATGTATCATGACTGTCCTCGATTCTGGGTGATCACTTGAAACCCTTCAAAGCTATTTGTTTTGTGGTAATTTTTTAAAATACCAGCTACTGTATATTGCATTTAGTTTGTTGAGCTGGTGATAAAGTGCAGTTTGTGGAACTCTAAACATTGATGATTTCCAATAATCCAGTAGTCAAAAACAGGATTGTGGTAAACCTGCAGGACATTCGGAGATGGCAGGACACTGTGTGGAACTCCACTCTGCCACGTGGCCAGACATGGGGAACAATGAGAACATGCAAACTCCATGCAGAAGGAGCCCCAAGCTGGAGTCAAAACCAGAAACTAAAAGCCAACATCATGCTTGCATTATAAATAGTTTGACTAAATTAAGGAAAATATTTTTAAACCGTGCTAAATAAAAGGTGTGTTTTTTTTCTTCATCCAAATGTGCAGGTCGGCCTTTTTTAGAAATAGTTTAAGTAAACCATAAAACACATGTCCATAGAAATGCCCACAGAATAAAGAACTACTAGCATATTGAGAACACTGACAGCACCTGGACCATGTACAAGACTTTCTGTTTTATTGAATACAGTAGCATACAGTACTGTACAGTAGCGCAGTAGCGCACTATTAAACACACAAGAAGGGCTTTAAGAGATCTTACAATAGGCAGAAAAGACTGCAAAGGGCGACAGTATATGAGGCATTTAAAAACTGATATGTGCAAAAGAGCTTGAAAGTTTTGGAGTCATGAACATCTCAGAGTGCTGGTGGGAGGGACGCCTAGTCAGATAAAATCTGACACGATGAGGAGCAGAAGAACACAGCCGGGAAAACATCCCTTGATTTGAATGGCTCCAGTATCAGCCAGGGTTTTCTCCAGCTTCCTCTCAAAACAGCCCCCTCCGTGTAGCTGGGTGCCAGTGAATGTGCAGTATGTCTCATGCCACAAACTGTGAAGGATCTGCTGTGCTGTATGTATCTTGTAAGGCGTCTTCAACGAAACGCGCAGCTTTAAGGTCATGATGTAATTCCAAAGCAAGGGAATTTTAAAGCTGAGGAAAGGTCACAGGTGGTTCAGAACTTCAGTCCATTAATTTTAAATTACAAATACATTGCCTGATGACACTCTCCTGGTCTCTCCAGAATACTCTCCTTGTGTCTACTCTGCCACTTACTCATGCATGTCAGGACCACCCAAATCGTACTCCCATTTGTTCAACTGAGGCTGCAGAGTTTTAGGCTAAGCAGGTAAACATAAACGACAGATTTCATGTAAATCGTCTTATACACCTACTGCACAAGACGTTCCTAATGCGAGTCCCAACACGTGCATGACATAAACTCTAAAGCAGAATAAACCTGCCTAAACTGTATAAACTGGGCATTGCACACCTGTTTCCACTTGAGCTGTGTAATAGGTTATACCCATTGTGGACTTCAATCGGCTACTTACTCTACAACCACAGCAGAATGAGCTTCAACTTTAATTAGAATGTCCCTGCCTCTGAGTGAATGTATCAGTGTGATGCAAATAAAGCAGTGCACTTTGAAGATTGAATAAATGTATTTACATCTTACTACATAATCTCAATGAGGGCTTTTCACTGTAAAACAATAATTAGCAATTTGGCACCTTCAATTCTTATGTTTTCCTCTATAGAACTTTTTTTAAATCTCATTTTACTGTAAGAAAGCTCAGTTGTTATTTAAAATAATCTGATAAATATTCCTCACTGCAGCTGAATGAACAAAAGAGATAATCAGATGGATAGCTATTAGAAAGTCCTGATATGGTTCCAGTATTGTTCATTTACCACCAATGTTAATGAGCTGCCCTTTGTGCTTTTGTTCTGATCCTGCGGTTAGACTTCTTTTTGAGTCTATGAGCCTGTGAGCGAACTATGAAACAGTTATTGTTTTTGTAAGATCATCCATACATCTCTGCAACTTGCTTCTTGCACTTGCCTTCTGATTTGTTTTGACTGAAACAGACACAATCGTTTACAATGAACAATTTTCTTGATCTTCCAAGTTGAAACTATAGGGTTGATCGTAACAAAATCCAAATGAAACATTAAACTTATTTCCAACACAATGGGGCTGATTTTCCCTGTCGTCAAAACTTAGAAAATCATCCTTCCAAATCTTTTGAAGTCTGAGAAGTTTGCTCTCTGTGTCCCCACAGAGAAAAAAGGAATAAGTAACTTCATCCTTGTGCCAGATTGTGCCAGAAATGTATTCCACAGAGAGAGAAATAGCAAAGGGACATGCAAAGACAAGAACAATCAAATTGTGAGTGATAAATCCCCAGATAAATTTATAGTGGTGGTATAGGTGTTTACAGAATCATTTAGATTCTCCTGGGAATTAAGTAAAATCCATAACTGTCATAATGTAATTAAAAAGCCAAACTGTTAAAAAAAGAACACGCATATTTAAGGATATGTCATAAAATATAGGGAATTGCATTCATTTATATTTAAAAATATATATGCATACAGTATACACTTTGAATTTGATTTAAAATTAATGTTACTTGATAAAGTGTGTATTTTCCTTTCAAATCAGACCCTGCACAGATGCTAAAGTCATTTAACCTATTCCAAGTGTTCCAGTTCAGTCTCACTCAGAAGCGTGACTATTCATCAAAGACACTGACATTTAGCTTTAACACCCCTGACAATGTTAGATTTATTTATTTACACAGACACAATTCCCTTTTGATACGTTTTCCTTTGAAACTCCTGTGTTGCCCAGCCCTCTTCTCTGTGCCCTGGGATCATCACTCCAATTAGCTCACTGGTTCATCTTACAGTAATTGTACCTGTACAGTACATTCAAATGTACTGTACAGGTGCTGTATGTCCTAAGCACCTGCATATCACTTGTCTGGAAAAGCAGCACATTCATTAGCTTTGACTCATCTGCTGGAGGTGCTGTCACATCATTGAACTCTTATGATGACCTGTGTGATTCTTGTGTTGAGCAGAGTTCCAAATCTGCCAAGGCAAATTCCTGTACCTGACACGTACTGGTGAATAAAAGTGATTCTGATTATGATGACATAACTTTTTACTGTACCTGAGGAGGTACAGTACTTCACCCACCTTTACATTTGACAATCTCACACAAGCATTGTCACGCTTTGGAGATACATTTTTGGACAATGAACAATTATTATTGTATGTTTATTATATATACTGTATATTCTATATCATATACTGCACAGTATATACTATATGTATCTATAATATCTATAATAATATATAAAACATAATATGATAAAACTGTTCATTTACTTAACTAGTTGTCGTACCCGTTATTTCTTTATTTTTAACATGCAGTGATTAAT